ACGTTCTCCAGTAGAATCGCTGCAAGAAGACTTTATTCGTAATGAGAGAAACATTCATAGAGGCTCCCGCCTTGGCCTGCGTGACCATAACCCTGTCCCTGAGCGTCGAGTCGCAGTGTTCCTTGAAGTCGACGAACACCGCGTGTAGCGGACTGCGCGGCGTGGTCCGTGTTCTCTTGACGTCTGCTACTAGGAACCTGCGCGCCATTCCTGCGGACTGTTCTCGCGAAAACTGTTCCGTGGAAAAAGCGTGTACATTTCCTAAGTAGCTGTCTACTCTTTTAATCGGCGAGCCAGTAAGCAGCTTATAACAAACGCGTTTATTTGCCATCCCTTGCCACATATGGCGGCGTAGTAGGTTCGCTCTTTCCTTTAAGAATGGCTAACAGGCATGCGTCTTTTCACTACGCTGGAAATGCGTCAGCACGTAAGCACTATTAAATAGTCCTAGTGTCTAGCATGGTACCAGAACGACGGCGCGTTTGAGAGACTCACTGCATACCGTATTTGAACCAATGGCCTTCCTATTGCAGAAGCTTCTAAGTCCTTGCATTAACTCTTGTACTATGAAACCTTGTTGAAAGAGATCACGTTGTACTGAGGTACCTTGTTTTCATGCTGGACTGAAAAAGGCACTTCGCGTGGTATCGTACCCCTTGAAACAAATATCTGCTATATAAACGTAAAACATAAAAAGAAGTGATTTATGGGATCCGAAGAGCTGATCAGGTGAGCCGGCAGGCCGCCGTTGTCCGTTGGCCACTTAGATAGTTGACATCCTACAACGGCGATCAAGCGGGTCTCTGGCCGTACAAGGTAATCATTGCCTTTGTGTCGAATACGTTTTTCGACAGGTCGTTTCAAAACGAAGAGTAAATGGTAGAACTCAGGCTATATTTCAACTATATGCCTGAGGTCCATTTGGATGTTTCAGGCAAGGATACAAGATCATGGCCTATACTTTCGGGTGGAGGGGAAAGACCTACTGTAGACTAGAAAACTTCAACCTGATGCTTCGTACAAATATCAGTATTGACCAGTTCAGGTGCAGGGAGAATTTCAGGGAGTGTGTTGCAGGAACGTATCTACATCTAGGCATCTCGACGGAGCTTAACGTTTACCAGTCCGTACAGGTACAACTTGAAGAGTGAGGTTTATCGCCATAGGTATAAGAATGCGAATGCTTACGTGCAATGATAGAGAATGATTCCCATCCTCAAACTTTATCCCACTTCTGAATACATTCATCTCAAATACATTGATAACCGAACTTCCTGCATGTACTAGGAAAGTTCGTATGGAAGTAAGACTGAGTAGGCACGACGTAAAATAATATATTTTATATATGGCCCGTTGTCCTCTATTACAAAGCAGCGTGCAGAATAGAAAAACAATAAGTTGAAAAGGTTAAATATTCAAGTCTCGGTCAGCACGAGGATGTCTACAATACCCAGGGCGTCCAAGGATCGAAGTGCCAGAGTTGCATCTCGCACTTCGATTCAGCCCTTATTTCTTAGCATCTCCTCACGGTTCGGCTTTGCTGCAAACTCTGTATTATACCCACAAGCGGCTACAGTGATCCAAGCTGCTGCATACCATAATCGGCCCTCTAGTGATTAATGCTGCCAAAACCCACTTCGAGAAATCCTCGATAATTAAGTCAGGCCATTCATTGGCCGTAGTCCATTCATTCAGCTTGGTGCTACCCCTTATATCGATGGTTCCTTAATGGGGACTTCGTCTAACGGTGATTGATCCCTTTGAAGCTAACCCGGACGCTGGAACGTTCGGCTCTGGAAGTCCGGTTGAGCTGACTAGATTCGTTATTCACGCCCCCTCCTCCTTCTTCTAAAGGCTTCATACTCCTGGTAATGTTGTAGGCGGTCTTCCCGGCCACTTCACTTTCGTAGCCACTTTCGACGACCAGGCGCTTTCTGCGCAATTTTGACGGAGGGGTAAACGGAGAGCACCTCTAGTTGTTACTCGAACCGTAAGATAATTGACGTCACTGAAAAATTTTCTAATTGCTGATATATTTTTTTAATCCTTTTCAAATTCCATGCTTTTATGATAAATAGTCTGTAAAATATCGCGGCTGTCCTTTAATTATCTGTTTGATACATGGCAGTGACGCTACACACCTTCAGCGCCGTCCGAATACTTAGCAACGTCTTTGTAAGAAAAAATTTCTCTTAACACGAAGCCAAGGAGTTACATGCTGCCAACGTCCACCGCTAGCGTTGCTTTTTATGGCGGAAAAAGGTTAAGCCGTCCCAAAGTCGCTCGGAGATGTCTCGCATTTTATGGTCATCCACCTTCACATGCTTCTGTTCCGTATGTAAGCTTGGCATTTACCCTTCGACCTTCATCACTCGACAAAATACGAACCTCATGAGACCCATCGATTCCTTCCCCACACACTTCGTAAATTACTATGACAATTTGCACCGAGCATAGCCTATAACGTCATTTGCCCGCTGGACCAGTCCCGTCGCTTGTCTTACTAATTGCCTTGCGTACATTCGTTGCATTTAGTTATGATTCTCTCTGGCGCGACGACTGCGATGGCGTATGCGATCGTTTTCGAGTGTCGATGGATACTTTGGCAAATGTAAACTGTGTGCATCGCGTGTTGCGGCTGCCATTTTTTGTACCAGGGATGGTCCAAGTGCGTGTTTATGGGTGGATTGTGCTTAGGCGACGGGACGCAGATGACAATACTGCCGTTCACTCACTAATTCCTAGAAGAAATGCGCTGGTATTTCCGCGGAATCGATCAGTACATACGTAAGAGAAGGAACCGTTTGCAAATACCGGGCATTTCGGATATTTCGGGGTGCACGAAATGAGGACAACTCGATTGGTGTCTAGCACGTCCGAAGAAGCTCAGTGGAACTCCCCAAAAACAGGCGAAGACTGAAGAGTAGACAGCTATATGATTATGATAACTGATGACCAGTCAGTTGATAACTAACAAGGCGAAGTTCAGGAGATTGGGATCAAACCTTCTCTCTGCATCCGTCACTTTTTTCGCTGTGGCACATTTATGGACATGAAGGGACTCCAATGAAACGACATCTCTATGGGTAATTACAAGAAAAAAGTATTATTAGGATGTTTGTGATCTTAGGACTTCCTCAAGTGTCACTAGCTACTTGGCGTGACAGCTTCGTCACAAATGTAGAGCAAACGGATGAAAAAAAAAGTGACATTATCATTAGGCAAAAAAAAATATTGTCATTAATGAAGTTAGTCGGTAATGAAACCTTCAATTATGTTAAAATTGAGACTATTTACAGTTGTCACCGATACTCTTCAGCGACAACTCGTCATTTCTGCCCAGAGTTCAAAAGACGCGCTGATTAAGCCTGCATGTAACGCAAAGGTGCCCTTACCGATCGGCCGCTTTCGCTCTCGGACACTTTTTTTGACAATGCATTTTTTCTACTGTCGCACGCCGTACACGCTCTGATTCATGCAGAAATCGTTTGTTTCTGATCCTTCAACTGATCCTTCCTGAAACTTCATCCTAAGACAGACATTTGAGGAAGCTAATGTTCGAAATACTCTCAGCTTGGTTTCGGGTCGGGCGCCTGAAAATGCTGGCCTCCAGGCCTGCCAGGACCGGATAACAAAGCAGCTGGAGTACCTTTATTTTCTGCAGAACACTCGACAGTGTTGCCACTGACGAGCTAATCCAGTTTTAGTACTATAGAAGGTATAGAGAAAATGATATTGGATATATTTTCTAAAAGTTTAACATGTTATGTATAAATTTATCGTTGTTTTCATTAATTACGCTACGTAAATCGCGGCCAGTCATACGTTTTTAGTTATCTACACTGAATGCTCAAATCAAAAGTCTAGCTGAATTTACATAGTCAAACGTTCTAAATACGACAGCTTTGTCGTTCGTGGTATGATCTCTGAGGAGATCCTTTTTATCAGAGACTGCAACGATCTGCAAATTTGAGCGTGCCCATGGGCCACTATGCAGGCACGATGCGTCAAGGATAGAAATGTTCTGAATTACCCGATAACATTACTATCATGAATATATCTTTTATACGAGTTTCTGATTCGGTATTGGACAATAGAGTGCTTGACAAAACAACAACTCATATATCTCGAGCAAGAGATTATATAGACAAGGGATAAACTTTCCAAATATATTATACAAGTTAATATCCGGTTATGTGTAAAGTGTAAGCCCCGACCTATCATCTAGTTGGGTTTGTCTAACCTAGTTTTTTGTTGGCATTTACCATCTATCCTTAATTAAACAACTGACACCTATTCAACGCCATTTTTACCATCGTCATTTAAATGTGTTCAAATATATGTAGGTAGGAAAATCGCGAGAGGCAACATTTCATATGCAGTTAAACTGCTGTGGTTTTCATTCCCTTTCGTACATATGCATACGTATAATGTTTGCCTTCGTCTATTTATGACACTATCATTTCTTTGTCAACAACCCATTTTTTGTATGACCAATGTCAGGGGATCCGTTACCTTGCTAGACGCAAAGCTCGGTGTTTATTCATTACGAATAAACGGGCCCGTAACTGACGGAAATTGATGTTCTCTAACGCTAACAATCTTCGGCGACTACCGTTCCGAGAAAGTCAGTATAAGGCGTCAACTCATAGCAGTGGAAAAACTAGATTTCAAATGAAGAGGCAGCAAGTTATCTGCTAAGTATCTACTCACACTACTGTACTCTATTGCATACAAAGTTATATTGAAGGGACTAGAAAGTTAGCTCTTCATGAACTTCATGAAACACGAACTTGTACATCTGTCATACATATAATACGAGACTGAGTATTACCATTGTATGTCTGTCAATATGATGTAAACAGAATAATTTATAGAACTTAAACGAACTCCCTTCTCGATTTCGTCTTACATATAAAGTTGATTTACTTAGTCATTCTACAAAACAATTCATTTTGTAGGTTTCCACGTACATCCACGATCCGTTTTGAAATAGTGTCATAGCAAAATTAGGATAGTCAGGCCTTATGAGGATCGCCATGTTTAGGCAACATTTTTCCTAAATTCGTTGGCAACCACCATGTTAACAGGCCTAAGAAACCACCCCTGACTTGCATTTTCCTCTGTTTCTACGTAATGAGAATGCAGTATAATGCATGCTTGTAAGAAGCATTCATCATTATAGAACTGGTTATTACATCATTCATGTCTTAATACACTCTTGGCACGCTCATCGATCATAGTGATCTTTCCGTTGAAATCTTCAAAATATTAACAGAATTCTGGGATCTTTGCAGTACATTCACTACTGGAATGCATGGAGATAACTTACAGTTATCAAAAGATAACTGTGTATTTACCACGTCGTCTCCTGTTAAAGCTTAGGGAAAAACGTACGAAGCCTTTAAAGATCGTTCTGATCACACGTCTAAGTTCAATACAAATATAGCTTGACGTGAGATTAATAAGGAGCAAACGTCTTGACACTTTCGTGCTTTGACCTGGAAAGAAGATAAAGAGGTGTGGTATTTTTACATAGCAGACCTGAGTGGTAACACGACTAAAGGTGATGTGCCATCCCCGTGCTTTTGAACACTTCGTTGACAATTCCTGTATAGTTTAGCACAAAACATATCTGAATTCGAAATGTTTTTATACAATACAATGCAAAAACTCCTTTATTAAACGCGAGATAACGTTCCACAATTGTCTACGGCGGGTCATAGACCAAACAAAATATCGCTAATATTACCACTTGGGTACCACATTATTAAGTACCACATTAATCGTTTGGGAAGCAAATATGTCAACTTTGACAACAATGACTGACCGGCCGGCTGAGCGAAGCGAACGACAACGACCTGCAAGACCTAGTTGGGAAAAATACGGTCCAATCGAATACAGAGCTCTCCGCATAGCTAGAGTGATCCAGATGGCTGTTGTCAATCGTTCGCATTCAACTAGAGAAAACTGACAAAAGCGTAAAGTGAAACTCCATTGATTACTCCGTAGAAATGCCAAAAAAAGAAGACTCTGACAATATACTTTTGGTTGCTTGCATGACAAAGGTCATTTCTACCCGAAGTCGTTACCGGCGATGAAAGATCGATTTTTCACTATACCCGTGAATATGAGTCAGAACGGTCAGAGCTCTTCAATTTGACGGTACGAAGAAATATACTCATAAACTGCACCTCGGCGTGTGATAAGTCGAGAAGAGAGAGTCATACTACGAGCTGCTGAAATGCCTGGAAGAAGTTACAACAGCCTGTCACACAAATCAACGTATACGCAGAAAGAAAAAGGCCTTGGATTGGCATGAGCGATGCAAAGTACTATTGCTGCATAACAACGTTGCGTCGCATGCTCCAATGAGGAACTCTGCCCATGCAGCCTAGACATCGCTCTACATTACTGTTACTTATCTCGGTTGAGGCAGCATAGCCAGTTCCCGTGGTAGGTTAGTTGATAAAGAAATTGCGCGCTAATCTTGGACTATACATTGGGTTCGAATCCAGGTATAGACAGACACACGGTTCGCTTCGTTTCTTCCAGCCATCTGCTGCCGAACGTAAAACACGAAACATAAAAGGCATGGCGAGGAAGAGAAATACTTCAGAAGAGAGACCGAACTATTGCAAATGGGTCGACGAGTTAATCTCTTCCGATGACGAAGCCTTCTCCTTCGCAGGATACATTGGCCGCCAAAAAGATAATCGAAAATTCTAGTAAACGAAAGACCGTCCCTACGCGTCCTTTTTTCCCATTTAATCTAAAAGGGGTAAAGAATAACGAACAACAAACTTTAATTCCAAGATTATACAAGCCTGAATGTATACATCCGAGTAAACAATATTCGACTCCAAAAAGGGTAAAAATACATCTCGAAGCTCAAACATATTTAATTGTCGCACTATCATAGAGTAGCATTATTACAAAAATTTCCTTAGGATTTCATACTGAACGATATTATTATTATTATTTATTATAATATATATTATACAGCATCGTAACTATCTCAAAAACGACTCGAAGGGTTTTTTCGGCTTTTTTTTTTTTTTACATGGCTTTAATTTGGTGGTTAGAATCATTGATTACTGTTGAAGAAATCAGATTCGTAGGAAAATAATAAATACTGCTGAGGGACGCTAATTTAAACTGGAAGAAATTTAGCTTTTTCCAGAAACGGCTGAAAATTTGTGAAGTATCAAAATTGAAAGATAACTTTTTATACCCATTGCCTCGATCGTTTGCTGCCTTCTAATCAAATATGGAGTTTTCCTTTCTTCTTTTCAGAAGTTATAAATACGCAGACTTGAGGAGCTTACTATTTGTTGAGACTGCAGAACAGCCACGACCCAATGGTAACGAGTCGACGGCAACATGATGGTAGCTCAGCGAAGGTAATACAGCAACAAGTTCCAAGTTCAGAGCGTCTGAACTTGTCATAGATTAGATTGGAAAAATACTGGACAATGATAGTTATTAACTGGCGTCTATGTGCAAAAAAGCCACCGATCGGACAAATGCACTGCAGATACCGAGCGGCGACAGCCACCTGTTTCGAGTTGTTGTCTATATGGAATCAGCTGAATCAGATAAAGCACTCTGACCATAATACTCTGATCAAAATTAATTTCTATATAGTGAACTCGCAGCCTGTGGTCAGCCCTTACCTTCGAGCTCAACTACATTGGACAAATCAGACCTAGTGGACAAACAAAGGAGGGCATATGTGCGAATTCTAATAAATCTATAGGAATAGGAATTTCTTTCATGTTTAATCATTTAGACAGATCTCAAGCTAAGACCTGTTTACAAATATGCTATCATAACAATCTATGTCACAGGAACAAATTCGCCTATTCATGTATTTAATAAGCATTCTCCTGAAGGGCATTAATCCTGTTTGTACTCGTTATGGCAACAACAGATACTAGTTTGCCATTTCAAACCAGCTGACCAAATTCTGAACCGGAGTGAGATCTGGCCGCCGAACCTTCAGCGCTTCAGTAATCGTTGTGTCGTTTTATGATATTCATGACTACGCATGAAACAGAATCAAAAAAAGTCAATATGCCAAAACTGTAATTTATTTAATTTTCGTAAATTATGTTACATCAATTGTAGTCCTTCTGAAAATTATCTGAGCAATTTTTCAATAGCAATAATAGCGTAGCTTGTTTTTGCTTGGCTCGGTTTAATATAGCGTGTTTAGTATACGCATGAGAGCCACGCTACTTCTACATAGAAGAGCTTCCCGATACTAGAGGTTATAGGACACCGCTTATCTCTGGTGGCTTCCTGAATGAATTTCCTAAATACCTTTGCGCGACCTGAAATGTATAGGGTGTTTCGGTCACAATTCGATATGAGCTATGGAAAGCTTCCGATATATGTTTAATAACATCCCTTTACCTACCTACCCACCCACCCACACGATCACTCAGTTGGCGTCTAACGCGCACTGCAGCCATTGTGAGAGTTTATGCAGTAACGGATTCGTTGCCCATTCTGATCTAGCAAGCGATCACAAATGATCATTGATCAATCGTGATCAGCGTTGTAGGAGACCATCCCGTAAAGCATCCATCTATTCGACGACATTGAACGGTTGACGTTGTTTGACTTTGTCCAGCTCAAACAGCGTTCTGCGCCAAGTTTTAACTACATATGTACGATAGTCGTGGTTGTATGTTGAGGCAATGTCCATAACAAAACAGTAGAATATATTCAGGCGGAAAAACAGTGACTTTTGGTCTGGATAGATAGATATATATATATATATATATATACACCCAAACCAAACTCACCATTTCTCTGTCTGAATATATTCTGCTCTTTAACTACCTGTGCATATTTTTGCATGTGTAGGTAGAGACTAACGGATTCGAGGCGGTATAAGTAGTTGTGACGGTGGCAATGGCAATGGCAATCATGATTCTAGCGATTAGGGTATTGTCTCCTGCTTTCGTCGACCAACGGTGATCCACTCAACATGATTTGAACGAAAAACGCTATGCATGAGGTTTCTATTATGGTGACCGTGATGATGTCGACGCCTATCGAGACGAGCTGACGACGATATAAAGGACACCACTTTGTCTTAGGTCACCTGTGTTTCGTTGGTCTATGTATCTCTCTCGAAACACATCTCAGTAACGACAAAAAGACGCGTTGCTGAAATCGAGATAGCTGCGACTCTATTGACAGAGTGGTGGGTCGGACCTGCCTTAAAATGGTAGTCTAGTAGCAATTTGACGCCTCGTCAACCACACGCCCAAGCACATATATACACGCGTATATATACGCCAATACGTGTACTATCAGCCGACGCAAGTCAGCACACTCACACACGGCTTTGTCGACGAGACTTGACCTCTCTTCTATAATAACTTGCGTATATTTTTACTGCTAGGCTAGGAGCAAGGCTGTGGCACCAACCATCAGCGGATCGCGTGTAGCGCATCTGTTTTTTTTTCGTCTCTGGGACAACCAGTGACCGACCTCTTGGAAACTGGAAAAAAAGCGATAGAGTCCATTTGTCATTAGGTTTTTCCTTTTTTCCAGACAGGAAAACTGAGCGAATAAGCACCATCCAACTTTTCAGTTACAGTAAGATGTTGTCGGACCACTTATTAGCACGTCTTTTTAACACTGGCGCGTTAATGCTGGTCATCCGTCAAGCTTCGTACCAGTCACGCAAGCACGATTCGAAACATCACTACCCCAACTCGTAATATCGCTATGTAGCAGCTTCCGTCGTAAGAGATAGCGGGCGTTACTCATACCATTAATATATCATAGTAATAGGGCCATTATTTGATAGAATTCAATTATTATGAAATCTCATTACGATCTTTTTTACCTTTTTGGTATCGTCAAATGTATCGATAGCTATGAAAAAATGGTAGGAGTGGCCTCGCTGGTTTTGGTCTGGTCGAGTTAGACTTCGCGGTTGTAAGTCTGCACCTACGAGTCTGACCTCAACAGCTTCCTATTGATTCTCCGCTGGAGCTGAATAAGTTAAGCGCGAAATCACGAACCAGACAAGGCTAGATGTGTAGTGCATTTTGTCGTATTCAAGGAGTTGTTGGAGTTCTCCGTAATCAGGTGGACCTTATAATAGCTGAGGCTTGTTCATGTCTGCAGGCTCAATGTTGGCGTCGTCTATAACCTCCAACCTCACATTTGTGAACCATCTTGAAATTTCCTCATCCTCGGTATAGTCGAAAATTGTGGATTTCATCGTTGCACGCTTACGCAGTTCACCGCCGCAACCACTTTCATTTGTTAGTGAAGCCAATGTTTGGGGGCTTTGGCCAGTGAGATTGTTCATTGAAGGAAGCATTAGGCTGTTATCTGGCCGTTATTCAATTTGCACATCGACGACCTTGCTGGTTTAGCGAAATCCCGGTGCTGAATAACCTACCATACGATTTAGAGAACCTTCACAAATTTCAATAAAAGCCAAGCGGCAAACTCTCCGTCTGTTTACCTCTATCGGCTATTGCGCAGCTATATGCACTAAGGGAGTCACTTGCAGAATGGTTTCATTCCAGAGGATCGTACTAAATGTCATTTTGTATCCACGAACATAGCATAATTTGAATCACAGCACTTCATGGAGTACAGCTAAAGGATAATCTTATCAAAGTATCTTATGTGGTTTATCAAAGCAAATTATCAACTAATTTGCTTTGATAAACCACAGATCGAAGCTCTGTTATCGCTTCCATTCGTGTGGTCAAATCCAGTCTTGGATAATAGAATTCCAAGGATCAAACCTTGCAAGCGGGAAAGGCATAGGGGATCAACACGCAGTTGGGTTGGTAGCAGGCAGTAAATTCCAGCTGCCCAACTTCCATGACAAAGTCGTCTTTATTCATCTTTAACCCAATGCAAAATTTTCGATGTTACTGGAATGCACAGCAGAATCATCTTTGCAGTTGCTTTCCAGCGATAGGAAAACGGTTCCTCTCTATACGGAGAAGGTCCTTCGTCCTAGTTTGCTTCAAATATAGTGTTACTAAAGCACAGCCTAATAGATAAAGTATATCATTGCTGGAAATATCTCTATTTTAGAGATACGTTGCACGAATGCACATTCTGACTGAACTAGAAGCGTTGATAATAGCCCGTCATCAATTGGGATCAACGCACTGGACTAGCCCGATGGCTGTCGGGGATTAGTTGGCAGGAAAGTAAATGATACACCACCTAATGTTGTCCATATATAAAGTTTTCCAATTCGTTCTGTGCATGATTCCTCAAGCAAATCGTGTGAAAAAACTCTTGTCAAACAATCATAAACAATCGATACGCGTATCTTCACTCTCGCGCTAGCTCGCCGGATATGATTCTTACAAACAAAGTCACGCCTTCTGAAGAAGGAAGTCTGAGGTTTGTATTGAAATGAGTTTGTGTGAGGTTGTATGATCGAATCACTTAAACACCTATGCAATTATAGCGAACATATAACACATTGGCGTTATTAGGCGTCTCTTAAACCTTGCTGTTCTGAACGTTTTAGAAAACCAAATTAATTGAAAAACGGATGCACTATTCCACGGAACACACGGGGGTTTCAATGTGAGTCCATCGACTTTCCCACTAACGAATTCGGTCGTATGCCTGACCTTTTTACTGAAGATTTTTTCTTCTGATTGAAATTTACTGAAGATTAGGCTCTAGAAGGTATAGATGTAGTGAGTACTTGCAGGAGCTTCATGTCGGTCTGGTTGGACGACTTCACCTGCCTGAAAACGTGCCACCTATTGGCTTCAATACGGTCCTTCGGAACAAAATCTTCGCAGGTCAATAACCTTTGTTAACTCCTGTGTATCGGATACCTCTTTTACCTCTTTTCGCGCTCAACAGCAATAAGCTACAATTGATTGCTTTACCCTTAGATCTCACGTATTAGTCCAATGGTTAGTGAGTGATTATAACGTCTTTCATAGGAAACTTTTGTACCTCTTCTAGAACGAGACAAGCGTACTCTGAAGCAGAAACAACTCGTCTTTAGTCAACTTCATTTGGTTACGTTCAGCATGTTAACTGTTTGTCATCTGTCAAGCTCATCTGGACAATTTTAACGTTTTCTGCACACGTTTAAGACAATAGTTATAGAGCTATTTTTGTTAGGACTTGATCTGTACATGCGTAAATTGTTTAACATTACTCTACACACTATGAATATCATAAATGCTAATCATATATATGTAGTATTTTCCGTTTGGTAACAGCTTCCCCCTGATTCGCTCAACATCAGTACCTTTAACCCTCTAATAAAACTCAATGAATTTTCTTTAACTTCCCTAATTTGGGCTACACAATACATATTTTTTGCATAACATGCAACAAGCTGAAAAAAAAAAAAAAAACTAAATAATATAAACCC